CTTTTTTTTAGTGTTTCTAAGTACTCTGTAAAAATGAATTTTGCTTATCATTCAATTTAATGTTTGGATTTTTCTAGCTCATTACAAAGAAATGTTAATAATCAGATTCAGATTAGTGTTGTTGCTGCTGTTTTTGTTTAACTAATTAATTTTTGTATTTGCATAAATGCTGAAAATGTAATGCATTTATTGGTTGTAATAGTAAAAGTAACAGTTCATAATAGGTAGCATAGTTCTTCGAAGTTTTTTTGGTGCATTAACACAGCCTAAATAAATTTATTTGATTTAATAGAAATATTCATTTCAGTCTGACCTTTTATTCAATAATTACACTCACACACACACACACTATATATATATATATATATATATATATATATATATATATATATATATATATATATATATTTTAAATGTGTCAATGTTTGGACCTCTTCAAGTAATTTTAAGTATAAAAGAATAGAAATTTTAAATTACATCTAACTCACTCATGTCTTCTTTTCCCCCTCACTTCCTCACTTTGTCAATTTACATATGCTTAATACGGCCCATCAAAATGTGTAAATTTTCATTTTTGTTTCAACCTTTGGAAGTAAAGTCTGATGATCCAGTAGTTTTTAAAAGGGCTGTGGTGAAATAATTTATTACATGGAACCTTAAAGTGGTCTGTTTTTATTTATATATATATATATATATATATACTTACTTCAGGGTTTCATGAAATTGATTTTGATATTATTGTATTAATAATATTATAATATATTACATTTAAGCCCTGCTGACTTTGGCATTGGAACCGCAGTTTATTTTATATTTTAAGCTTTTAGTTTAGATTTTACTGTTTGTCTAATATATATATATATATATATATATATATATATATATATATATATAACCTGATACAAACAAGTCAGTTTTTGCCTCTGTCTGATTGCCATCCTTCTTCTTCATTTAGCATCTCCCCTCTCCTCCCCCATTATCCATTTTTTGCCTCTTTTGCAGTCTTTCATAATAGATAAGAAATAATACTTCATATTTTTTCTACCTAACTTCTTCAGCTTGCTTGTTTAGGTAACTTTGGAATAGATCATTTAAAAGGAAGCAGATCAAAAAGAAGCCTCCAATCTTAGGATTTCTATTTTAGTCAATGTCAATAAAAGTATTGTTTTTCATACAAAACACCAAATATTTTTTCATATATAATAGCCAAACATCCTCAACCCTTAAAACCTGTGTGTTCTCGAAATAATATATGAAAATGAGGATATTTTTCTCAAAAGAATTTTTAAATAAAAGTTCAGTAGGTTGTTTGATAGTTCATATTTAGGTTTTCATTTTATAGCCATTAAAAATAGTCTAAATTTGATTATTAAGCTGATTATTTGGATTCATTGGTTCAGTTGTTCTCATTGTCAAATAAGAGGTAAGAAAAGAATTACCCCCCCCCTTTCTATTTTTCATCCCAACCACTCATCCAGTAAACAACTGGATTCTGCACATCTCCAAGTTTTCTTAATGGCAATATCATCATTATTATTTGAAGGCTGCTTTTATTCTGGAAACATAAAATATATTTATCAGTTTTTATGTTGTTGAGAGTCTTGTTTAAGCAATCAGACATTGCTATCTGCTCTCTGGTTTTTAATATTTTAAGCTAGCCTATCAGATTGAACAATGGGCACTAATTAAATAGACTGGTCCACTCATGAAAAGAATAGGAAAAAATTATTCTTGTAGATTATCATTCATTAGACCTTCCATAGAAAATTTGCAAGGATTAAAAAAAATATTGATTTGTTATTGATTTAGAAGTGGGGGATCTGTTTATAATATCAATACAATGTCAAATCGATCACTGACTTTTTCAGGGAAGTATTTGGCAACATTGTTTTATCAGTTTTTCTCAAAAGTAAAACTTAAGAAAAAAAATGAGAATTGATACTGTTCTTAGTAGATCTTCAATAAATGTGACTTTAATATCAGACATTTCTTAATCCACATAGAAAAAAGAAAGTTAATGATTTATGAAGTAGTTTTTTTTAATTGGTATCACCCCATGCAAGACAGTAAAACCACTAGGAAGCAGGTGGTTATAGGATGTGGAAGAATTCGAAACAGAAACATTAATACCCTACATGCAAGCTGCTAGTGGCCTGCTGGCAATGCCAGCAATACTTTGGTGGCAGTCACTTGTGGGCCTCTAGTGGTCTACCAGTGATAACATTGCTGAGATGAACATGTTGGTGGTCCAACAGCAGGCCACCAGCAGTAAATGCTATTGACATATCACCCAGTGGGACATTAGTGGTTTGTGTGTAGGGTAATGAGCAGAAAAGAGTAATCAGGAGGACAGTAGATAGTGATTGACATTGCATATAAATTTTTGGAGATTAAAGTTGTTTGGAAAGCATGTAGCTGAAAGTGAGTTCCACACACGAGAGATGTGAGAGAAGAAACGTTTAACATAGAACTTATGGCTACATCTAGCCAGTTCAATGGTAAATTGATGAGATCTCCACGCCAGTCTAGTACTGCGCTTAAATTCAAAAAGTCTGTATCTTCTCTAAGACCTGAGCTTTCATACCCCTGCTATTTAGTAAATTTGTAAAAAATCTGAAATGTTACTTTATTCAGAAAAAGAGATAAAAATGAGAGAGAGAGAGGAAGAAAGAATCTGTTTCTCCTTGTTTGAATTTTGTTACAAAGATCTACCAGTTAAAGAAATTACTATTTTTCATTTTGGTATTTTATTTAACAAGCCGTTTAGCCATGTTGGCTAGTTAAACCCGTCTACTCCATCAGTAGTGATGTACAAGTTGGTGTCTTAATAATAATAATAATAGATTGTTCCCAAACCTATTCTAACTGCTTTATTTCTTCAACATTTTGTGGCCTTCTCAATCATTTCATAAGCAAATCTATACTTTCTTTGTATTCATCATTCCTCGCAGCATAAGTGGAAAGCTTTTTTTTTATTTTGAATGCAAAAAAAAAAAAAAAAAATGACAAAAATAGTCTGTTCAGTAGTAGAAAAACAATAAAGATTTTTCAGTACATCATGAAAGCATTTTATATATATATATATATATATATATAAATAAAATGTGTGTGTGTCTTAATTTTGAAAGTCTGTTTTTTCTGATTAGTTTCAGACATTCATTCATCTTTCAATTTGTTGGATAAATGAATGATGTTTTGTTACAAAGCCTGGAGTTAGGCATCTAGACCTTGAGCAAGTCTGTCATGCCCTGTGCTCAAGGTGATAGCTTTTTTTTTTAAAACCCACCATATGCATATACATACATATATTTTTAAAGCCGTTTGTTTGTGTGTGGAATGTTCTTCAGTGAAATGTCGAAATTTATTTATTTATTTTTTTTTCCATATTTTTAAAAATAAATTTCGACATTTCTCTGAAGAACATTCCACACACAAACACTTTAAAAATATAGAAAAAGAAAAAAAAATAAATATATATATATGTGTGTACATATGTAAAAGAAAAGGTATGCTCTAATATTTTTAGAGTTTACCATCTAAAATCCAATGCTGTCTTTTTTTTTTTTTTTTTTTCAAAAATTTAATTTTAAAAAAGAAAAAAATTGACTGACTATTAAAAAAAATAATTTTAAACCTCCAATGTGTGATAATTTAAATTTTGTTAATTTTTTTCCTGGAAATTCTCATCCAAAAACATTTTAAAGATTAATTTTTTTTTTTTTTTAATAAACATTTTTTTTCCTTTTTGAATACTGATTATATTTTTTCCCACAATCCTCTCCTCCAAAAAGAGCAAAAAAAAAAAAAATTCAAACCAAGGCCGAATTGTGGTTCCTTGGACGCAGTCACTTATGAAGGAGAAAGTGAGATGTATTCCAGAATCTTCTATTGCTTTGTTAACAACTGAAAGTCTTCTACAGGGTATGGATGGGTTCCAAGTCAACATTCCTTTTCATCCATAATAAACAACATTTGATCAAAACAGTTAAGTGGTTTGTGTCTTTTTCTTTTCTTCTTTTTTTAATCATTTCATCCCAAGTAAGGCAATAAAGCCACTATAATGCAAGAGGTTACCGAGAGCGAAAGAAACAAAGAGAACAATAAAAGAGCAGGATTTAAAGAGACAAGATAACCACATTACATTTAAATTTGTGAAGATCGTAGTTGACCGGAAACATAAAACCGGAATAGAGTTTCACAAGTGAGACATAAAAGAAGAAACAACATATAACATGGTTACAACTAAGAATTTTAACAGTGACATGAGACCTACCTGTCAATCTAGTACTACACTTCAATTTGTGAAGTCGCGGTTCCAACGAGGAGAGTTCATTAGATCTATTACCATGAAAATATTCTACCTCGAGTAGCCCACAGGCCTTGTACAGGGTGAACCTTCTGTTTTAAAAAAAGAAGGTATGTTATATAACAATGGGAAAGTGTGTGAAGCGAAGATTTTTTTTTATATCTAAATAAAAATTCCAAGAGCCACTCAAGGTAGAGAGTTACTAAAGTTTATGAAGTTATGTAGGAAAGATACTGGTTAACCCAAGATTCGAAGAGGTCAGGATTGTAGTGATCAGAAAAAAAAACGTCTTGCTGGGAGTCTGTTCCACAAAACAGTAGTTCTTGGGAGAAGCTGTTCCTTCTTATTAATGAAATACAAATGGACTGAGAATGGTGGTTCCCAGTTGCAAAGGTCAAGGCTGGTGGGACCGTAGAATGTATCTCGTTAGAACACATATGGAAATAGTGATAGAGTAGGGAGATGCTTGTGATGTTTTGTCTGGAAATGTATTTTCTTTGCTTGTTATGCAATGTCAGTAGTTCAATAAACAAATGCCAAGAATGAGACACTTCATCTTTTATCAAATACCGTCTTCGTGTGTGTGTGTGTGTATGTATATATATATATATATATATATATATATATATATATATAAAATGAAAAGTATTATTTTAAAAAAAAAGATGAAATTGACAGCACAAAAATGCACGACTTACGGCCACATCATTTTGAAACACCCTGTCCCGTACAATCACCGAAGTTAAGCAACTTCGAGCAGTGTTAATACTTAGATGGGTGACCGCTTGGGAATACCAGATGGAGTAAAATATTTAAATTAAGCGTTTATAAAATATTAAAATAGACATTCTGCAATCAATACAATCATTCTTATTGAAAGTTTTAATGATTGAGAAATCATGAAACATAAGTTGACATCTAATAAGTATTGTGAACTTTATTATTTCTGATTATATATATAATAAGAGGAACCGGAGCGTAATGGATTAAGGAATTGAAAAGCCGAGTTCAAATTCCAGTCGAGTTTATTATATTCACTTATGTGCTTGGGAAAGGTATGAATTCATTTCTTCTCCTCGCCCCAGCTATGAGGTTCCTATATCCTTGGGTGGCGAACGGTCTAGGAGAAGGGCAACTCTGAATTCAAAACGGAGGGTCGTTTGGAGATCTTGTGGTATACTGTGAAACAGTTCTATGTATTCAATTCTCCCAAAAAGTGTGATTGGTTCTGCACAAGCCTTCACCACTGGAATCAAATTATATGTGAGGGTAGTCTGGCTGTTGGTTCTAAGAACTGAGCTGCTTGAGCCTCATACATCGAAAATGACTGGAGGATCAAGTATATATTACAATTCTCTCATATTAGATAAAAAAAACAAACATACCAAATTATTTGAAATAGAAACAACTGTTTGTTTTTCAAGTGTTATTCTGAATGCTCTATGAAAAAGTGTTGTGTATTAGAAACTTAAAATTTCAAAGTTGTTCCTTAAATTCTTTTATTTTATTTATTTTTTTTCATTGTGAGGAGTGGGATGACGCATTGCCAACCATTATTACTTTTTATTTATTATTATTATTTTGATTTTATTCTCATTGCAACTTTGACTGTCATTCTACAGATATCGATAAAACAGTCAGTTCTGTGCCATGCGTGATACACGCTTGGGCGATCATGTATCTTTCGATACATGACTGACGAGGCAGATTTTTTTCCTGCAGTAGGTTGCCATTTCTTTCTGCAGTAGACCAGTTGCCATCCAAGGCTATAGAACCCAGTCTGTCCTGCTATTTACCCAGAGTTGGGGGGCGGGGGCGAGAAGAAGAGGATTCATACTTTTCCCAAGAGTATTAGCATGTAAGTGAATGTAATGGATTCGACTGGAATTGAACTCACTTCCCTCTTGCTTTTTCCTGATCTGTGATTTTTAATCATGACTGTAGAATGACAATTTGAGTGGGTACAATAAAAAGTTGCTCAACATAATATGAAAGAAATACAAAAAAAAAAAAAAATGAATCATAATTTATAAAAGACTATAGTTTTAATGGTCATTTAAATAGTATTTTCAAACTAGAGAGAGAACTTTAGAAATCACCGACGTATTTGAAAAGTTAAGACCTCATCAGGTTGGAGCATATCGAAATTGGAATCATCATCATTATCATCATCATCAGTTTCATAACCAGATGTGGTCGTAGAGTGGCTGTGCACTTCCCTCCACATTTCTATGTTAAAAGCCGAAGAGTTATTTATGCATAGCATGTCGTGGGCAAAGTACATTCTTCTCAAGATCAAGTCACAGTTGACGTTTGCCTTGGTTGTTGATTCCATTGGGGGTACCCTCTGCCTTGCTCATTGACTTCAGTCTATGAAGCCTCCCGTTCAACAATGTCATGTCATCACCGCCCTCTCTGCGTCCATAGCTATGAAACCCAATCTACTCCATTGTTGCTAGATCTATGTTTACTTTACAAGAGGGTTCATTCGCTCTTTCACAGGTTTTGTTTTTAATCCTACAAGGTGTCTAGCCACCCTACTCACCAGAAAGCCGCAGTGGGTGATGATGGCCCGACTATCTGTCAGGCAGTATTGGTATCAGTAACACTCTCAGAATGACCTGATATAAACATGTTGGAAGCACATGCCAAAATAGGCATATTTTATATAACTGTGAACTATACAGTCAGGTACATAATTTCTTGGAGACGCTGTAAATGAATTAGGCGTATCGAGTTCAATTCCTGTTCGATTTTGTTACGTTCACTTTACGCTAATGTTCGTGAAAAAAGAGTATGAATCCATCGTACTCCAGCTGTGGGTTAAATATTGGTAGACTGGTCTCTCTTGACTAAAAGTTGCAACCAGTCTAGGAGAAGGAAAACTGAATTCAAAATCAACCTAAAGAGGGTTGGGCTGCGTTAGGCTGACTTTCCCTAGACACACCACTGCAGCTATTGCTGCAGTACGTGTTGCCTCTTCGACCATCGGGAGTTATGACACACACACACACACACACACACACACACACACACACATATATATATATAATCTCTTATGATTGACAATGTCAGGTATTGGGTTGGACAAAAAGTCCGTTCGGTTTTTGTCGACACTAAACTTCTAGTCTGTCTATATTTCTGAGATGAGGTATTATGTACAGTATTTACATTAGTCGGACTATTGTCCTCATCTTTGTCGCCATATTTGTCACAACGTTTCGGCCGTTGTACGCTCCGGCCTTCCTCAAGGACACATGGCACAGTGGCTAAAGGCGTTGGTTAAATCCAGTGACAGACCCCAAAAAGGTGAGTTCAATTCCTGGTTAAGGCAGTGGAGAACTTTCAGAGGGAAAATTAGCAGGAGATAACTGATAACTGACATCCATCAAACATGGCACGTGGAACTAGAACAGTATACCCCAGTGATCGAAATAAAGGGTTCAGTTCGAAATTCCTACCACCTGAAGAAGGCCGGAGCGTACAACGGCCGAAACGTTGTGACAAATATGTCGACAAAGATGAGGACAATAGTCCGACTAATGTAAATACTGTACTAAACTTCTAGCAGTCTAATAAGTAGCTAACTTCTATCTGCGTTCGTACATACGCACTCGTTAGATATTTGGCAGTTCAACTCAGCTTTTCCTGTGCTTGGGATCACCCTGAAAATGGAGAACCAAAGCGAACATTATCGACACCTCATGCTTTTTTTATTTAAAAAAAAAAGCAAGAAAAGCGTCGGAAACTCGTAGAAAGATATGCGCTGTATACGGAGAGGATCCTTTAATGGAACGTGTGTGCAAGAAATGGTTTTCAAGAATTTGGTCGGGAAAGTTTTCGGTTCAACGTGCACGTCGCTCTGACCGGCCAAGTGAGATTAATAGCAGCAAAATGGAATTAGTCGACACCATCCCCCGTTAAACGACCAGGATGATCGCAGATATTCTCCAAATATCCAAATCGAGTGTTGAAAACCATCTACATGAACTTGGTTAAGTCACCCGGCTCGATGTTTGGGTCCCACAGTTAAATGAGGTTAACCTCACCCAACTGAGTTCCATCCGCAATTCGTTGCAGAAACGCAAAGAAAACGATTCTTTTATGAAGAGAATGGTGACAGATCACGAAAAAAGGATAGTCTGTAATAATGCGAAGGATAAACGATCATAGAAGTACAGCGAAGTACCCCAAAGCAGGACTTTACCCGAAGAAGGTTATGCTTTCAATTTGATGGGATTTGAAAGGTGTTGTCTTTTATGAGTTTCTTCCCACGGACAGAACCATCAATTCGGATATGTACTGTGACCAGCTGGACAAATTAAATGCAACAATCCACCACAAACGTCAAGCACTTGCTCATTGTAAAGGTATTGTCTTTCATCATGATAGTACCATACCGCATACTTTTTGCAGTCACAGTAGAAGTTACTGGGGCTTGTCTGGGAAGTTTTGCTGCACCTTCGCCCGTTCTTGCGTCTTCAGATTTCTACCTGATTCGGTCCCTTCAAAATTCATTGAATGGGCAGACCTTCAAATCTGAAGAGGATGTAAAACTTTACCTGGACGTATTTTTCACTAGTAAAGGAAGGAAATTCTTTGAGTAGGGAATAATGGATCCGTCCACAAGATGGCAGAAGATACTGGATCGAATCGGCAATTATATCATTGATTGAATAAATGGCTTTGTACTTAAAACTTGTGTAGAGGACTTTTTTTTTTAAATTCTTATTCCTTTTGAAACGTCGGGGTTACCATTTGTTGATAACTGTTAGTTGATATGATCTCTCAATTTATATTTGACGTAAAATATCACAAAATATGAAACAACAAGAAGGAACACAAAACGGTTTTGTAACAACAACAATATTTATATTTGTATAATGGTGTACATTGTACAAGCACAGGGGTTACTATTTTTGTTGGTGTTATGTCCCTTTGACTGAATTAAAGTTTTTACTAATGAAATTGAAATATTTTTATCCGAGCTCACAAAAGTTGAATGAATTTGTCGCTCAAAATGTTCACTGTTAGAGAGTTGAAAGAATTATAAACCTGAGAAAATGCCGAATAGACTTTTAGCTTTAGAAGAGTTGAATGTTCTGCAATGCTTGTAATTAAATTTCCATTGCTTGTAGTTGAATATTCGTAGTTTGAAATGAAGTTTGGAAAGTTTCGTATGTTTGTAATGTAGTTTGGAAAATTTCGTGTATGTGTGCGTGTGTGAATATGTTTTCAGCGTCCGCCCGAACTGGGAATCAGAACACAGTGTCCTTTAAGGGTACATTTTCGTAGGCGAATGAAATCAAGAAAGAGAGAGAACGAATTCGTGTCTGGTATTTATAATCAATGTAATCACGTGTTAGGCTCGAAAAAGAATTGACATATCTTGGCGCAATTATTTTTTGCCAAGTCAAGAACTAGGTCGATGTTATTCGAACGATTTAAATATTAAGTGACCAATCAGAAGTTGAGATTTTCTGAAAATATGTATGAAGCTGGGTAAGCTCTGTGATTCACTTTTAGCACAGATTTGCACAAAATTCAAAATTGATAAGAAAGTGGTAGCGGGATGCTAGACTTGTGTCTTATTTTCACTTAAAAAACAAAACAAAAAAAACGAACGGACTTTTTGGCCAGTTTAGTATATGTACCTGCGCTTATGCATAAATGCATAATTATATAACAACTTTATTCTGTCAGTAATGTGTTAATTCCTGACCAATTATAATCCCTTCCTGATACTTTCCTACCATCAGACCTAGCAAGTGATTTAATAATAATATTTCTACTTCATGACAG